TGTAAATTCCACTACATTGGCATCACGCTTGTCTCCACATGACAATTCTCTCGGCCGACCACGACCCGGCGCTCCCGTGGCTGCGTTGATCCAGTCAGCATTATACATGGAAGGAACCTGGGTCGCGCCAAATCGCGTTGCGAGTTTGGTGATACGACGATTCGTGCTCGGAATCGGCGCGATCCATTGTAAATATGTTACATGGGCCTCTTCATGGGGCTCATGTGGGTCTCGACGTGAACCCTGTCGTTGGATGCAGCACGTCCGAGCGGTCCGCATGTGGTGCTGCCTTGATTTTACTTCGACATAATTTTTCAATCCCCTCACTACTTGACAGAGACATGTTGCTCTTGTCTCTGGATCCCGCCAGTACTTCGCGGAGGCCTTTTGGCAGCGCTCCTGCATCGATCGGATTTTGTTCGCTTTTCTGAGTCCCGCCATGCATTTTGGCAGTGGTCTTGAATAACGCCGGTACATGGAGGAAAGGATGTTGGTGGAGGGTTAGGCTTTACATCAGGGTTTGTAGAAGGATCTATGAAAGGGTTTATAGACTAAGGGTTGCTGATGGATGGATCGCTGGCTGGCTGGATGGACGCATCGGCGGATAGATGAATGGACGGTGGCGTTGGTGGATGGATGAATGGATGGATGCGCGGCTGGATGTACGGATCGACGGATGGGATGGGATGGGATGGATGGGATGGATGGATGGATGGATGGGATGAGTGAGTGCATGGGTGCTGCTGGTAGAACGCCGCAACGCAGGCAAGCTGGTAAAAGTACAGCTAAGCAAAACGAACATGGCCGAAAGCCTACCGCGCAGATGCTGCGGCAGTGGATGGATGGGTGGCTGAATGGAGAGGTGAATGAATGGATGGACGGATAAATAGATGGATAGATGGGCGGGTGGTTTTTGGGGTGGGTTTGCTTGGGATTGCATGTGGGGCTTATAGGGGTTTAAATAGGGATAAGAACAGAGTTTAAGGTTCAAACCCAGCTTAAGGTTTGTGGGTTCGTTAGTCTTTCAAGTCCCGCAACATGCACTCCAGCCTGCTGCAACCTGTGCCACGCTTTGGCGGCTCTTAGCAGCTGCTTGTGCTGCTTTCGGGCTCGGAGGTAAGCCTCACGATTCTGCAGCTGGTCAATCTCCTGCTCGATGGTCCTAGGTGAGAGAACAGTGGCGACCGCTGCACAGTGCGCATGCTTGGGAAAAACCATCTGACCACTAAACTATACTAAACTCCCGAAGGTTAGTGTTTTGCCGAGTCACATGGTCAAGCCGCCGTCGCGATCCATGCTCTAGTGACTGTAGTGGGTGTGCTTAAAACAAACACCTGGGCATCAGTCGAGCTGGCGTGTGCTGCTCAAGGCTTCGTTGATATCTGCAGGCCACAGTCGTAAACTTTAGGCAACCACTGTTCCCATTAAGGTGGAAGGCTGGATCTTGAGGACCTTGATGCGTAAGCTTCCTCGTTGAAGGAATGCTGCGAAAGAACAACAATCTTCCGTCTGTGTCGTCAGCGATACCCCACTCTGATTCAGGGTTGGGGCGGGGTCTTGTATGTTGAAAGGCAAATGTTCAAAACGGGGCAACCCTCTGACCAGTCATGTTTAAACCGTTTAATCTTGTTTAAATCAGTGCTAAACACGAAGCTAAATGTTTAAACCTACGTCTTTCAGCGCAGCACTGAGGCAACCCTCTGACCAGTCATGTTTAAATCGTGCAGACTTGCTCACACCCTGTGCCAGATCAAACCAAACATGAGGCTAAGCGCTTGGAACTGTGTGTCTAAATTTATCCGTTCAAGATCCATTGCCATACACTCTATTGCGCTTTGCCGGCTCTTATGGGGTGACAAAGGAGCAACTTAAAGCTGTTTCGAGATTCCTTGAAAAGGACAGTTCAAACATGCACCTAACCATTGGTCCATATTCGGGATGTGTGGAACGCAAGGAGCAGTTTAAACATGCACGTTCAAATTGGTTCAAACATATTCGTGGTGTGCGGCACTCAATTCAAGGAACCGTTCGAACATGCGATTAAACATTGGTTGAAACATGCTTGGGGTGCGTGCGTGTGTGTGTGTGTGTGCGTGTGCGTGCGTGTGTGTGTGTGTGTGTGTGTGTGGGTGGGTGGGGGGGGCACTCAAGGAACCATTTAAACATGCACTTAAACATTCGTTTAGACATAGACGGGGTGTGTGGCACTCAAAGAACCGTTTAAACATGGACTTTAGCAATGATCTAAACATATTCGGGATGTGAGGCACGCAAAAAATCGTATTAACATGCGTTCAAACACTGTGTTCAACATATTCGGGATGTGTGGCACTCAAGGACTAACTTAAACACTTGCTTAACCATGGGTTTCAACATGTTCGCCACGGATCGGGCTTCGTGTGTGGTATGCCAGGAGTTGGAACAGGTGTGTTATCTTGACATGTAACAGCCGCGGCTGAAGCCTCTCATTGCAACGGCACTGCTTAAACTAATAATTAAATATCGGCAACAAGCTTATGTTATGCTACCAAACGCGTTTAACCGGACCCTGCGCCTACACACAGGCACACTCAGGCACAGGCAGGGCGCACGCACACCCACATACAAACACAGAAGATAACGGAATTGGCTTCACGAGTTGTCACTTTGGCATGTTTCCTATACTAAATCGGAGGCATAAAGAATCATAAAGACTGGTCGAAACGATGCAGCCCAAGCAAGAGAAGCTCATGCAGCGAAGACACCCACATCCTTTTGCGGTTTGCAAGCGCAGTTCAGCCTGCCCTCAGCTAACTGCAAATTAAATGTCAGCACTTGCTCCCCTTCTATGTTCTTCAGCAATGAGCCCTAAACCACCCTGTAGGCCTTGCACCCACATCTCGACAAGTGCCAGCCGGCGACCCGCGGCAAAGATATCCCAACTCTGCCGCTAATTGGGGCATCGGAGTTCCTCCACATTCCACGATAGCTTCTCGAAGTGTGAAGATGAAGGGGTTCACCAGTGCTTCAGCACAGACCTCACACGTAGGAACCCCATAACGCCCTGCTAAAAGTGCGCGCCCTCTGTACAGGAGCAGGCCGCACTTTTCGAACTCCAAAACGAGGTCTCGGTGCGCGGTCAGATTTCCCCACCCTGATACTGCCCCTGGTGACGTGCTTTTGTTGATGACGGTCAGTTTCCGCGGACCAAAGAGTTCCTGGTCCTCCTTAGCAGCCTTAGCATGCTTCGTCATACTTTATCATTCTGGAAACCGGACCTGCGCCCGCGCCTCTGAAAGTCTGCAGCACGGAGTGCAAAGTGGTGACTGCAGATCTATAATCGGAGTAGGCTTGTTTCACTGACCTGACCTCGTGAGTAGTGACGGTTTTCTTAGTTTCGGCCTAGCTGAGGGTTAATACCTCGGGAAGGATTGCAGAGAAACAAGGGGGGGACAATGAGCAGCATGAGTGGTTCTGGGAAGCTGTGAGCTGTTGTGTATTTTATTTGGGCTTGCTACGGATTAGTTTGGTGCAATCCGGTTTAGGCGCATTTGCTTTCGTTCTGAAGCGGGTTAGGGTTCGAGGTCTCGGGACTCAGATATCACATCATAAGCCCACATGTGCACCATCCGGATCTCAGGTCACCGTCCTCGCTCTCATCGCTATCCAGTTCTGCAGCTTCGCGGCGAAGTGCCTACAAGGCTGCAGGATGAAGCGGGGGACAGAAATCCGACTGGCTGGAAGTGCAGGGAACTTAGTAAGTAGGTCATGCATGGGGTTCTCGAAACGAGGGGCCCAATTGGGACTGCGTACTAAGGTAGTGCACAATCTGGCATGATATGCTAAGGCCCAACATGATCTACAGTACTTTACGGATCTAATAGACTATGGGCAGCACGCAGGATCGAAGCAACTACTGATTAATACTCTAGTGACTCTAGTGCTACGTGAATGGAATCAGAAAAAGCTCAATAAATCGTACACTACTCACCGAGCGCGGATGCCTCGCGACGCTCCACGAGAGGCGGCGCCGGCACGTGCGCTGTGGCGAGCAAAGGCCATCCCGGCTGCTTCACTGCAGCGCACTTCATGCCTTCCATGGACGGTTGTCTCTGGGAAATTGGAAGGTAGGGAATTAAGTATAGGGTTTACACTCTCATAACTCGGACAAACCAGGCGAGGTCTATCAGGCGCAGTCGTTGTGAAAACAATTGAAGCCTCCCTCTACCGGGACTATAGGGACTTGAGGGCTTGCAGCGTTTCGTTCAGGAATCAAACGGAGGTGCTGTTGTTTTTACTATGATGCAGGGGTGGCGTTTTGTTTGCCATTGCAGCCGGGGATGTGTGTGTGTGTCTGTGTCTGTGTCTGTGTCTGTGTCTGTGTCTGTGTCTGTGTCTGTGTCTGTGTCTGTGTCTGTGTCTGTGTCTGTGTCTGTGTCTGGGTCTGCGTCTGCGTCTGCGTCTGCGTCTGCGTCTGCGTCTGCGTCTGCGTCTGCGTCTGTGTCTGTGTCTGTGTCTGCGTCTGCGTCTGTGTCGGTGTCCGTGTCCGTGTCCGTGTCCGTGTCCGTGTCCGTGTCCGTGTCGGTGTCTGTGTCTGTGTCTGTGTCTGTGTCTGTGTCTGTGTCTGTGTCTGTGTCTGTGTCTCTGTCTGTCTGTCTGTGTGTGTGTGTTTGTATGTGTATATATATATGTATGTGTTTGTGTGTGTAAGCCTTGATTCTGAGCTAAAGGTTATTGGAAATGCGATGGACATGTGAGAGCAGGGGGCACAAACCCATGGTGGTACCTGTGCCAACGAAGCTATCCACCATGCGGGAAGCGGAGACTGATCACCTCTGTGTACCTGCATACTGCATACACAATATGGCAACCAGGCCAAGCCATAAACCTGGCATGTCGGCAATGCTATGGAGCGAAAGTGATTCTGCACGGTTGCTGTAATCTGTTCTACGTCGTCAGGCTCCGAAGATGCACTAAAGAATTACCGGTCCTCGCAGTAGTAGCAGAATGCTTCTATCACTTTACTTCCACCGTCTCCGTGTGTGTTTGTTCACTCGCTCGCGCACTGCTGGCTTGCTGGCTCGCTTGCTTGCTCGCAGAATTGCTTGATTGTATGCTGTACTTGTTGGCTTTTGTGTTCCTTGGTTGTTTGCTGGCTTGCTTGTTTGAGGCTGTGCATGTGCTGCATTGGCGAGCTCTTGGATCGCATACTTCTCGACTTTGGCTGATGGGTTCGTCAAATGTCTTGGCAAGCGAATTGCTGCACAAGCTTCTGACAGCACTCCGCGCCGTCGCATGTCTGCGTAAACATCAAAGGCCTCTTCCAGTCTTCCAGCCCGCTGTGCCCGTCTCAGCAGTGCATTGCAGACCTGAAACTTCGAGAGGAGAGGCGGTTGCAGTCACTGCACTCCCCACATTACCAAACCACGTGCGAAAGAGTCCGTCGGGACAAGTCGCAGGGAGCTCTGGGGTAGACAACTGTCGAAAAGCAGCTGCCGCAACGTCCCACTCCCTGAGATTTATCGGATGGAGCTCAAGCTCGTTAGGGATGTGAGTTGAGTGGAGCAGTCTTGGTTCTTAAGCATGCTTCTGGTGACACTGCCTTAGGCCTTGCGTTGGCTGCATTTGGGGCAAAACGGTCAAAGTCTGCGCCGAGGTTCCTGCAGGTTTTAATTTCTTCCAGCACGGCCTGCTGCGCAGGGCAAGAGCATTGCTCCGCGGATTCCTCCTCTGCAGCCTGGGCGATTCTGCTGATGTAGAGCATAGGGTTGAACTGCACATCCTCTTCTCCTGCCTCTCCATCCCTGCTTGATTGCATCCTCATTTTCAACCTGAGCGCTGCAACAACGGTACCGCCGGGCAGTAATGCGAGAAGCAGCATTCCATGATCATGGCTCATGCGAGTTGCCGATTCCATTTTACTCTGGAGATCGGGCTCACGTACTTGGCTGACTCCGAGAAATGCCGCACACCGTAGGTCCTCATGCTCGATCAAAGGCAAAAACCAATTGGGAGCTGTATTGTAGGTGCTCTGTAGGCTGCTTGTCATCCCGATTCACAATGCAGAGCACAGAAATTTGAGTAGCCGCTAGCCTGGACAACATTCACAAGTTGCGACAACCTCGGAAGTGATTTGCGGATGCTAAAGTACGCTACACTATCGCTAGTGACGTGGTAAACACGTCCCGGAAAACATCTGGTTAATTGGAATGCCGCTTGGCAGAACCAGATTGATCAAGTTTGCACCTTCCATGCATGGGTCCTGGGATGCAGCGCCTGTGCACTTAGTATTCTGGCAGCTCTCGCAAGCACTTCCATGGCGGCCGCACTGGAGAAGGGCCTTCTGAGCCAAAACTGTCTGAAACCTCTTCTCGGAGACATCATCAGGTGGCTTCTGCAAGGTCTTGCAGCAGCATTACCGAAGGTAATTTGCACCTTGCTAGAACTTGACTCGGACTGGGAAGGCTGCCCGCCAACACTTGCGGCTCGTGCAGCTTCAAAGGAGACCTCATCCATTCCAGAAAATCGGCTTGTCCAAAGCGTGGAGATTGGTGGAGGTTCCGTGCATTGAGAATCAACAGCTTACAACAATTTCAGCACACACGCACACCCTCGAAGCCACAAAAACGGTCTGCACCTGAGGCTCCCCTTTCTACGTCCAGCCTCTGCCATCGCCCATTGCTCAAGCCATCGCTCTGACTCGTGTCATGCCCAAGGGAACAAGTTGAACAACTGACCCACTCGATAATGAACTACATGAAAGTTTGGTCAAAGTCTGGCTGAAATATCCTTGCTGTGCACCCAGTCTTTTTCCATGATTCGTGTCTTTGTCAAGGCTATTGCAGTCTGGTGTGCGTTGAGGCAGAATCACGGACCTGGTTTTTTTTTAAAGGCTCTCGCTTCCTGGCGGCATGCGAAATCAACGAAGGCATCGCTAACTCCCAGCGATCCGCTGCATCTTTTTGACGGGATCTTATCCTCCGGCTTCCGTCAGCAATGCTAACCGCCACGGACTGGTCGGCTAGGATTGACGGCCCATGGTGTTGCTCATATCACATGTGATTTGTCATTGATATCATGCGCCATAGATGCTCAGGTATCACCAGAACTTCTTTCAGCTCCCTATGCCGAGCATCCGCTACGGCCAGCGGGCGACCGAGGTGACATTATCGCAACTTCTTGGCTAAATGCCCCAGATCAAAATGGGCAGACACCACAAACGTCAAGCAAACATCTGGGATGGAAAAAGATGCGCCATGCCCTGTGTTGCCGTGCGGCTGCTTTATGAGTTGCTGAGACGTTAAGACAACTACTTGTACGCGTTCCTAGGAGCATGCACGGAACAGCCAGATCGAGTCCTTAGCTTCACAAGCCGTATGCGTCTGACAAGCAAAGCAAAGCCCATCATTGCTGAGGTTTCACGTCAAGCGGCAAACTGGTATTTGAATCAGCTCGCTCAGTTCCTGCATCAGAAGAATGGCCCCAAGGCTTGCGCTAACCTGACAAGGGAGATGCGAAACTTCAGGATGAACGAGTAATGAGACCGCGCCTTTGGACCCCGGATGATGGCCACCGCTTTGTTGACCAGCTCAGGTCGAGTCTGGTCAAGACGGTTGAGGAAACTCCGATGGTACTGTCAGGCTGGTCCACTGGCCGCACCTGAAAGGTGATGGTGATGTCCGAACCAGCCATGTGCTTCAGCTCGTGAAGTCTTCCTACCAGCGCGGCTCGGGACATGCTGCCGCTCGCATGCCAACAGGGCTTCACGCTTCGCAAGCTTGAGCGGTCCGGCCTCCTTCGCTCGTCAGCTTCGCGACGAACTCTTTGGGAACCTGCCCAGTCGTCACATTATCCAACAAAGCGACGCAGAAGCAGCGCAGAAGAATCGGCGAGGATACCCATGAGAGGCAAGCAAAGGCTGAAGTAAATACACATGATACACAGATGCAAGTCGAGGCATAGCGATGGTCCTCAACAACCTGGACAGAACATCCTGAATGCAAACAAAGTTTTTTCTCCGACGTGCGTCGTGTTTGGAAACGCAAGCGACAGCACTGTCGTAGCCTATATACACCGAGGACCTCATCTCTGGCCAGACATAATGTCACGGTCATGTCCAAGCGAGCTCGCTCCCACATGGATGAGGCTGCCAATCTACATTGGGACAAAAACGTTGCCAACAGTGATCCTAGTCGTTCACCATACTCGTGAAACTCAGACGTCCACTGCCAGACCTTTGTGGCTTCGAAACGAATGCCAGCTTACGAAGTCGACACTGCATACAGGCTAGCCAAATTTTCGCTGCGACTCAAGACGTCTCTGGTAAGCTACGTTTGGCAAGGGCTGTATACAAGCAAGTGCTAGGACGACTTCTATACAAGCACAAGCAAGTATGTCCCTCATATAGGGAGGTCAACACGGCCTTCCTAAGTCAGAGTCCAAACGACCGGTGCTTTTCACACCCGTCTTATCTCCGTGTGACCAATCGAAACACAAAAAATTATGTCAGCTGCCTTGGCCAGCGTGACGGTCCGGGTGCGCGGTGATTTCCATGCACGCACCGAAATAGGCTGTGGCCTCATTGGACGCTGCTTGATCTCCCGCACTGTGTCGGGGTGGAACCAAAGTGGCAAAGCGATCTGCCCTATCGGCAGTCGTTGGCTCGTTTTCTGCAGTCGCGCGCGGTTCTGGCGCACGGTCCGCCGCAATGACTTTGTTGGAAGATTCAAGAAGTGTGGCTTCATGGACTTCGTGGCGCAATCAGCCAATTCTACATGTGTGGCTATCCACCTGAGAATATCGCCATAGGGCGCGAGCGCCTCGTGGCCAGGGATGTCATCCTCCCAAAGCATTTGTCCTAACCCGCCGAGTTCTATGCTCAACCGTTTATCCTCTATTTGTTTTGGGGTTGAGGGCAGGAAGTGATCTGTGAGGCTCCTACAGCCGCTGTATTGGACATGTAGCATGATCTGCCTCGCAACCTCTTCCCACTCTCCGCGCACGAGAAGCTTTCCTAGAATCTCGAGTACACTGGCGCGAAGTCTATCACCATGCTCTGTGACGTGTTGTAGTGAATACGCTTCGCATTGCAACGCAGCGCGACAAACACGCTTCATGGTTGATGAACTAAACGATAAGAGATGTATCTCGCGCGTGTCGGCATTTCCATTGACCGCATCCCGATGTGATGTCAGGTAGTTGGATACGACCAGGCTGCGATTTATGCCCAGCTTCTCCTGCGAATGAAGCGCCGCAGAAAGTGACTATGGCCAGCTCCCCTGTGCCCCATGGCAACTGGGCCTTGTACACTGTGCTTCTCTCTGCATCATTGAGGCCAAAGCTACAACGCGATTTGCTTCACGGAGGGTTTCCACAGTGGCTGTGGTCACTCGCTGCTGGAGTCCATTGATTCTATAGGCCAAGTCAGGCCGTGTGGCAGGTGCTACCCATGCCAACGAACGTATAGCTGAGCGTACGCTGAGTACTCGACACAAGGGTAGTGCATTTCTCACTTTTGTGAATCGATCGGCCTTCTAGCCCGCGTGCTGCCACGGCAGTTAATCACGATGGTGCCGCCAGGGTGTTGGACATATGCTCTGTCACAGAATCGGAATTGATCCTGTTCAATACGCCCAATTTTGAATCGATCCAAGACCTTCTGAATTGCGAGTTTTCCTTTTATACCATGCGCTGCCCACAGAAAGTCGTCTACGTGCGTGCATAAAGCTGCGCATAGTGTGCCCGTGTGATCTACCAAAACGTAGAGAGCTGAAAGAATTGCGAAGCTCTCAATCCGAACTCGCGGCTAGTCTCCTGTATCTACCGGCATCGGTTGCGCCATGTATGGATACCCTGGCTATCATGGAGCCTGCTCCCTGTGTCTCTGGGTCTGGTACCCTTTTCGGGTGTTTGGGAACGCGGAGGATGAGCAATCGCTCGAGCGGCTTCCCTTGGAAAAATGCATTCATAATGTCAGCAGCTCTTAGTCGAAGACCGAGCGAGACGGCCCAGCTATAGATGAGGGCTATCCGCTCTTGTGGGGGAATCGGCGCACATGTCTTCCCTGTTCACTTGCTCGAGTTTGAGACATGTCACTAGTCGAGCCTTCCACTGAGGCGTATCGCCCGGCGTTCCGACCAAGCGCTTACTTTTGTCGGTAAAGACCCACTTCGTGGGTATAGTTCACTCATCTCCTTGGCCGTGCAAGGGAATACCGCATTAGAATGCTACGTACTTCTGCCACTCCGTCTCTTCATGCCCGAGCTGCACGGAGACTGAGGCCTTACGGTAGTCTATATTCGGGCTTGCCATGATAGAAATACCGTCTCCCTGAGCACTGTCCCCAGGACTCGTTTCCCAAATCGTGGACCCTGGGGCTCGGTCAGGGCTCGTGCTGGGCTTCACTGAACCTGTGGATTCGGAACACGCATAGCATGCTTTCACACGGAATGCCGCTGGGTCAGCATGATGGTTTTCTAGGGTCGAATCCATTCGAAATTGTTTCACCCCTCGACCATACTTTTCTGCAATGTAGCTTGCGATCCCTTGCCGATGGCATCGCTCCCAGTTAGACTCAGCACACAGCATCGCTGTACGATGAGATTGAGATTCGTCGTCAGCCCTGCAGATTATTCCCTCTATGGTGGACTGAAAGTTCGCTGTCTAGTAATGCTTTAATGCCTGCTTCAGCGTGGTTCCCCAACTCAGGGCAATGCACGTATGAAATGCCGCTAGCGTGAAGGATTCTGCTGTCATACACGAATGGCCTATGGTGTACTGTCCGCTGTCCTGCTCCTGGAGCTCAGCAACGTTGCCCGTCGAATATGACGGGCATGCAAGCTGCGACAGGAAGACTATGTCCTGCGGGCTTAACTTCCATATTGGTCATCGTGAAGCCTGAGATGCTGAACCTCTCGCCCGTGAAGGGCATCACTAGATGTATTTCTTTTGGGTTGAATCTATGCACAAGATTCCTAGTGGTCCTAGTGTTGTACACTGCTCCGAGCATTTGCACCCCTTGGACCTGGGTTGTAGTAGTGCCTCGGTGATCTTCGATCCACAGTCCGCCTTACTCGAAATGCCCTACGCTTATAGCGTAGTTGAAAGTGCCTGGCTTGTTGGACGTGTCCTTGTGAGGGCCCGCCCCTTGATTCGTCATTCGAACAATTCTCGGAACCAGAACATTAAACAATGTACGTGTATCTACCAGCACTCAGAGGATCTCCAAATGTTGAAGACGATTCCAGTCCAATTGCTGACGGTTCCTTGTCAGGGTTCACAATTGCGCGACGAGGAAAACGAAAAAAAAAAACTGAACCAATACCAAGGATGTTGGAACCAGTGATCCGAAGTCCTTTCCAATCCAGTCAAAACATCCGACGTGTGGAAGAGCCGCGTGAGCCGCGTCTTCTTCGACCATCTTGGAATCAAGCTGCGTCAATGATCTAAGACGATCCACAATGGAAGTCTCAGTGTCTCCGGACTCCTGACCTGACAATATGCGAAGAATCCATCTTAGCCAACTTCTTGCGCTCGGTCCCTCGGCTCGACACAGGAGGATGCGTCAATGACGAATCCGTAATCCGTGCGGGGTGGGTCGGGAGGCCCTATAGAAACAACGCGGACGCATTTAGCGAATGTTGACAGAACAATCGGCTTGGAACCAGCTTTGGCCTTTGCAAAAGCTGTCGGGCCGGGCTTTGTGCGAGGAGCAATCTTTGACGAAGCTGATCCAGGTGCAGATGGACACAGTGCGCAAGCAGCTTTGCCAGTCCAATGCTTGTCGTCACGGCGATTAGGATCCCGCATTGACAATCCGAATCTTCCTGAACGAAAGAAGTACCATCCTTGTACACTCTATGCGTTTTGCGGTGACCAGTCAATCTGTCTTATAAGGAATCTCAACCCTTGCACGAGTCATCAACGTACGCAAAGCCAAACGAGGCTTGACATGATGACGAGTGAGGATCAATGTAGCTTTATCAAGAGACCACGAATCAATCTGATGAAATTTCTGATCAGGACGTGGAAACGGAATGTTCTCACAAATATAGAACTGGACACCAAATGACCACCACACTCAAGCACATGACGCTTTTGCCAATGATGCTCAAGGTCTTTCCTGAAATTCTGAAATGGAACGCAACGCCGGATAATCTGAACCAACAGGATGCAATGGGTAATCCTTGCCGAACCAAGGAGGTGCACAGTTTGCGGAAGCACCACTGTCGAAAAGAATCCAACTGCGATCAATCACTCCAGACTGCATGTGAAACTCAGCAAAGGGATCCTCGGGATCATTCAATGCTGCTTGCTGAGAAGGTGGGCTCAATCCGCGGGTACACTCGAAGACAATGTACCAGTTCGCACCAAAGCTCCTACAAACAATTTGTTGAACAATCCAGGCTAGGCCGTTCTGTTCCGACCACCTGAGGACGAGGACGCACGCAATGCTGCAGACATCGCCTCAGTCTCAGCTTCAATCTCCTCAATGATCGGCTCACCTAAGCCAGAAATGATGGCACTTGTCTCCAGTGTTCCTCAGTGCCAATGAAGTTGGGTGTTGACTGACCCTGATGAACAGACCATGACCAATCATCCTGCCACCAATCAAAGTGCACTCCAATCATCTTCATACCAACCATCATCAAACAGGACACCTGTCCAATCATAGGACCAATCATCTCCATCATACCAGGAATCATGAGGGCGATCTCTACTTCAATGCGACTGTGATCCACAGTTGAAACAGCCTGATCCTTTTCCTTTGCTCTTTCCTTTGCCAATACCTTTGCCTTTGCCCTTTCCTCTGCTTTTTGACTTGCATGTCCTT